TGAGTTGAGGATGGTCATTCTTTTGGGCGTGGGATCGCGGGATACGTGTTTTTTTTTTTTTTTCAGGGGGCTCGCGCAGATATGACACAGCCAACCAAGCGAGTCTCACACCGAGTGTCCTTTTACTTGAAACTGCTCGTTCACGTGCTGCAGCAATCCCGTGATCCATTGGGTTCGCCTTCTACGTGCAATAGGCAGCTATCCCGCAACCCTTGAGTGCAAGTCAGCAGCCCCAAACAGAAAGCTGTATAGACAGAAAGGCGCCATCTCAAGACCCACAGGATCAACAAGTGCCTTGCTGTCCACACCGCTTTGCACACCTTACCAAGAGTTCTGGGTACCTTCTTGGGGTAAGGGGGCATCCTCATGTCAAGATTTGTGCGGAGGTGTTTGCCATCATCTTCATAGTAGAGATGGCCATCAAGCTCTTAGCCATGGGCTTGATATGGGGCCGGGGCCTCAGGATGTTGACTGAGTAGGCGTGCCAGGAGAAATCCTGTAGGACATAGGTCTTGCTTTGATTTTAGAAGTTCGAGAATGGGTTGTTTCCTGAAGGCAATATTGGGTCCCTGATCGCTACTTTTGATCAATACCTGGAAGGATTTCCAAGCCAGCAATTATGTGTATAAAGCTGCAAGCTCTTCTTGGGTCCCCGCACCATGTCAACATCCTAGGGCTACGTTTCAACGTTGCCAAAAAAGTCCAACCTTAAAACCTGAACCCTAAGCCCTAAGCCAAAAAGGGCTGAAACAGCTGGCATCACCTGTATTCTCCAGGTGAGGATGCCTACTTGAAAAGCGCCTGGAACTGGCTCGATGGCGTGGTGGTGATGGTGTCCATCATCAACATGGTTACTTGACCTGATGCTGGGTTGGTTCTTCTTTTGAGTTCCCTTCCGGGCTCCATGTAATGAGACCCAAAGCTTCAACCCGAATTCCCAAACAGTCCAACATTCAAAAATGAACCTAGACCTTTGTGTTCAGTTTTTCTGTGATCGCCTGGGCACCGCTCAGGCCAGCTCCAGCTCGACGGGCTTCCTGAAGACGCTTCGCATCCTACGCTCCTTTTTCCAAGTTGGTTTATGTAGCAGCAAACTTGTATGAGTTGTCCACAATGTGTTCTGATTTTTTATGTTTTAAAATACTTGGAGCTGTATTGTAAGGGGAACCGAATACGCCAAACACAGCTTTTGCAGTTGGTCCTAGTGTTTCTGAGTAATCGTTTTTTGTTGCTATTGTGGATAACTCGTAGTGGTTTAGGCATCCCTGCCCTGGAAGGAGAGAACACCTGCAAGAGATATACGGATATCGTGTCCCCTGTTCATTTGAAGAGCCCACAAGATTCCAACACCCGAGCGAGTGTTGTTTTACACCTGAAGCCGGATGTCCAAAAGGGAATTCGATTCTGTTGTTTTTCAATTGTTTTCTTAGAGTATTGATAGAGGCCCTGTCATGGTGAGAACTTCTTCATGCTGAAAAAATCAATGCTCAGCTTCCAAAATTGCGGTCCTCCTTTGTTAGTATTGACAGAGGCGTGGCTATATGCAGACACACGAAAACACGCCCGCAACCTGAACCTGAAACACCTCAGCACCTCTAATAAGCCAGATTTAAGGCGCCTTCAGACCACTGCGCGTCATCTCGCGAAACGAGAACCTAAAAGTCGTGGTGCGGATCTCTGTGGGAACTTGGGGGTTTGGGGCATTGGATGCAGGAGTGAGGCGATATTTGGATGGTGTAACAGATATACAGAGTGTAGCCTCCACTGAAAATGTATATACTCTATATACTTTTCGTTCTTATACTTGATTTCCCTTATGCCATACACTCCGCCGAACAAACATGGAACCTCCAAAGCGAGGCCTGAAAAGAAGAAAGTCCTCTTCAAAGGAACCAAAGGGGTTCCAAGCCTGCGTGGGAGAGAGTACTAGGCACCCTGACTCTGGGCTGCCCGGTAGCTGGCTCGCTGGAACATTTTGGAAAGGTCCGAGTATGCATAAGAGGTGATGCTGCTGCCCCAATTTTTTCTCGTAGCATGCAACAACCAATGAAAATTTGTAGAACACGCCCTTGGCTTGGCAGAACTTGAACTTGCAAGAACTCATCATTAGAATGAGCACTCCTTTTGTGCGCATCATTCTCCATGCAGTTGTCGGGATTTAAACTTTCCATTTCTTTCATAAGCAGTCTCACCGCCGCCGCCGCCGCCACCGACACTAGCACCGCCACCAGCGCCGCCACCCACCGCCACCTCAGCTGAAGAAGAAGACGAAGAAGAAGAAGCCGAAAAAGTAGCAGCACCTGCACATTTCAGCAAGTCGAGGTGATGACCATCTTTGCCTCCATGCCCGGCACTTAGCTGGCTTGCAGCGGGAGTGAGCTCCTGCTGCTGGGTGGAATCTGTCAAGATACTGGGCCTGGGGTTCGTCGGCATTAGTAAGCAGAACGTTCACAATCATGTTTGGAGGAGCTGCGATTTTTGAGTGGCGGAAGTCGTAGTTTCCAGGAAATTAGAGTTCGAGGTGTAGGGATAGTAAGGCTGTGAAAAGGAGTTATAAAGGAAACGGGAGAGGACAGCATGAGGATTTTCGGAACAGGGAGACACTAGAAACCCGCTTGATCTAGTAAGCACACCAGGCAGGAGGTGTTTGTGCCTGGTTTCGTCAATCACATCAGGCGTCCGATCCGTGATATTGCATAAGGTAGGACATGCAAGGATTGTCTTGAGACTGTGAGGCCCAACGCAATAGAGTCATGCTAGTTGATCAACGCTGATGTGTGAGATCCTTAAGTAGTCGCTCCTGGCAGACTTATCATTTGGGCCAGAGCTGGCATTCAGGCCGCACCTGCTCACCTTGGTGATTGTGGCAATGCCGGAAGCTCAGAAGCTCCGGTATCCTCAGTCTTTTGAGATGTCGAACTGGAATTCCAGTCTCACGCTCTTTCCGTGGTGCTGGCAGGCTGTTCCTCCTCATCTTTGCCTTGTTCGCGCTGTCCTACCTGAATGGCCTGGCGCAAAGAGTGTTCAAGTCTGGTATGGCGTTCGGGCTTCCTGGTGGAAGTGAACGCGGATGTCCTGAGAATGTCATGTGCTCATCGTAGTTGCACAATTTGAAAAGCTCTTCTCAAATTTAATTTTCTCGAACAGCTACGGAGCTTCCTCGTGTTGCTTTGATCGATGTGGCGAGAAAGCGCCCATGCCTTTGTGAGAGCATCTCCAGCTTTGAGGCACGTTCCTCATGTGCGACTTAGCCACAGAGCCGGGACCCTTCAGACATGTGGGGCTCGCCGGAGCCTCATCCATCTCCTGGGGGGCTGCTGTTTGGGGAAGATGCGTGGGGGCGTATAGTTGGGGTCACTGTGAAGCTTTTAGGCCAGGATGCAGGGTTCGGAATGTGTATGCAAGGCATGTTGCATTCATTGTTGGATGTTCCCATACCTAGACGTTCATCCAGTTTGACATGCTTTGGCTGCAGCTTAGCAGTTTTGCAAACTCCCACCCCAAAGCTGACAGGTCCCTAAGCAGAAAATGGTGCACTTGCCAGGACTTCGCGACTCCGCTCTGCCTTCCTCCTCAAATAGATCAGACGTCAGCAAAAGCCTCAGAAGATGGTAGCTGTCCATCATTCGGTGGGAGCTTTTAATCCCCTTGGGATGTTGAAGTATTTTCCAGGTCCCTGAGGAAAGCTTGCCATCCTGACATCGAGCCTTGCTCCGCAGCCTTCGCAGCCTTGCTGCAGCGTTCCAGCAAGGTGGCAGGTGCTCTACCACATGGCAAGTTCCAAACAAGCACGTCCAAGTGGGCAGCTGCCTTATTTTGCTTTGCCCTTTGCTTGGCTAAGGCGGATCCTCAAGCGATAAGTAGCACCGGAGGTTGTGTGGATCGGTAGAGTTTTGTTACGCAGAATTGACAAGAAAGGGAGGGGCATCAAGCACCACTATCTGTGTGTGTGATGATATCATCTACGTGACCCAAAAAAGTCCGGGTTCTATGACTGAAGGTTGCATCATGACTCTGCAGCTGTGAGGCTGGCAACGATACCACCTGCCCTTCCTCGCACAACGTGGCCTGAGCCTTGTGCTGGGTGTGCTGTCTAGGCCCAGTCAAGTTCTCCATGGTCTTGGAATGCGAGCGCTGGGCAGGCTTCGAGGTTCTTTGGCCGTGAAGGTATTCTAAATTGCCATCCGTCCTCCTTGAACATCTGCAACCGAAGTCCAGAGAGGCGCCCGAAACCCCCAGCAGTCCCTGTATGGAATGTTCTCAAATTATGCAGTAACAAGACAAAACCGTGTGGCCAGTCCCTGTGAATCTGACAGGGGTCCCTGACAAGATTTGGAATGTCTTTGGTCTGAGGAGTACCAGCGGGCAACAGCTGACACGCTGCGGGCACAGAGAGTCATAGAGAGTTCATTTCCTTGGTAATTCTTCGCTTGCACTTCTTCAGATTGTGGTTGATTGAAGACATCTTGCAACATTTCATTTACCGATAGCCCTGTGTTGCAGCAATTGTGAGACTCTGGGTGGTGCAGGCTTTCTTCTGCAAAGTGTTTGACCCCACAGTTGCCAACTGGGGACATGGACAATTCATAACACCACCGCCTCTTGCACCTATCCAGGCCCATTTGCATTGGCCGCTGCCTGCCCCAAGGGTATTCGTCGCCGCTTCCTGAGATTGCCATCTGCCAGGGTCTATGTCCATGTCAATCTCTGCTCCAGAGCATGGTCCCAACAACTGCCAGTCAACGCTCGATGACGACACATGATCTTGCTAAGGTTTGCACAACCCGAATGGCTCTGCCCAAAGGCTGATTCAAGCTGCTGTGTTTGTTTTCCGCAGGGGTGCATGTAGCAGGTTTGTCTTACAGCGCAATTGAGTCTAGAAGGTGCAAGGATTTTCAACGTATAGTCTTGTTGCAGCGATTGCCTGCCGTCGATCGATGCGCGAGTACGAGGGCTGCATGAGCGAGAGGGCTGGGTTGGAAAGGCAGGTTGAAACATCATGCTCATTCCCACGCACAGGCCTCAACATCATTCTCATTACTCCACACTGGCCTCAAAGCCCTAGGGCAAAAACTATGAACCCTCAAAACTGCCCCGTTTGTAACTATTGTAACTGCCCATGAACGGCCAAGCAGGCATTGACCATGACGGAAGAGCTCCCAGCCGTTTGTGGGCCAGAAGTCAACAGGACAGAGCTTTCAGGTTTAGGGTCTGGCGATTTGTGCAGCCTCTGCCTGCTGCCATTGCCGCACATTTTCCAAGCAAGGCTGCCGCAATAGCAAGCTTCCCAAGATTGTAAATGCATTTTGGGAGTCCCTGAACTGAGCTTTGTAATGCTTTGCGGTAACGAAGGAATAAGACTACAACTTTCTCAACCAGCTCTTCAAATAGACCTCTTGCCCGTATATTTCTGCAATAATCTGTCCTGTCTTTGGATCAGGACGGTTTCTGACGCTGAGCTACGAGGCCAGCCCCTGTTCCATGGAATTCGCATTCAGCAGGTAGGCTTGTGCACCTGTTGATTTGAGATCTTTGCCTGTGGTTGCACAAGGGTTGTGCTTGTAATGCCAGCAGCTCCACATGAACTCTAGCCTGAAACCAGAATCCCCAGAAACTCAAGTCTACACACATCTACCGACATCTCGACAAACTCTTGACTGATATCGGACCCTGCAACTGGTCGAGGTGTGGCTTATGTCACGCAAATGAGCCATGCTCCCAGAATCTGCGGCAGAACTGCGCAGGTCTTTTCCTTTTTGCAATGCAGATGTGGGTCTTTGTAAATTGCGCGTTACAAGCAATTCTTCTTTAGCTTTGGCACTGAGGAGCAAAGCGCTCCTTTTGCCAGAATAAGCACCTTCTCAAAACATGTACATCTCCGTCCGAGGTGTACACGCCTAGATAGAAATTCTCTGGGGCCCTGCGTTTCAGCATCTCGGAAATGTAATTGCTTCATGTAGTAGTATGCCATGAGACAACTTAAAGAGCCTCCGGCTCAGTCCGCCGACCCACAGGCCAGACCTGCGAAACCGAAGCGCGGCGTGAAGAAGCGGCAGTCGTAACAGGAAGGTGAGTACGAGCGTTCACGCTGGCACGGGCAGTATCTGCCTGTGAGTTTCAAATCCAAGCTTGCGGTTGCCCCCTGGGAGAATATGTTTTCCCA